GGCGTGGCGGACGCGTTATTGGTTTACTCGCGCCACTGCCTCCGGGATACCGTCAGAGGCTCTCATCTTCTATTTAAAAAAAAAAAAAAAAAAAAGAAAGAGACGTCAAAGAATCTCCTTTTGATCCATGCGTCGCGCATTTCCCTTCTCCTTTTCGAGCAATCTCTTAATTGATTCCCTTGTTCTTCAGAAACGTTTCTCTCGTCTTTTCTCCTCTCTGTACAAATTTAAATATTTTTTAAAATACCAGTTGAGAATAAAGATTCCGTTAAGGGGTGTATAACTGTGTGTGTGTGTGTACGCGCGCGCGCGAATTTCTTTTTATCTCGGTGATAATAATTCCTTTTTTTATTTCCTTTTTCAATGATTTTTTATCAGAACACAGGAAAGATTTGTATTATTAATTGCGAATTTATTGCATGGAAAATATCGAATGCATTTTTTTTTTTTTGTATTTTTTAATGATTTCTTATTTATATATATAGATTAAGGGAAAAAAAGAGAAAAAAATATATATATAATATTTACTAGAATATTATAGAAAAATAAATAATAGGATGATGCACGTATACGACTATGTGAATTAATTTTCAAACGTATCGAAACGTTATTCTACGAAACAAATATCCAACGCGAGAAAATGTATTCAATATCGAACATATTTCTATGATTTCCCATTCGTTTCATCAAAAAAAAAAAAGAAATTCCTATCTTTCCTATTTATCTGTGTATCCAGTATCAGCCTAACAGCAACCTAACAGCAACCATCCAACGTTGAAACCCTCATCCTCTTCTACACGAAAGTCGACTAGTGCTATCTATGTAAATGCGGTCGTGTTTTGTGTGAGTAGACAAAGCCCCGTTAACAATACGCCTGCGCGTTCATCCCCCTTTCGACCACCCCCTCAATCCTCCTCCTCCTCCTCTTCCTCCCATACCGAAAAGTTGGGCTCCATTACGTGTGTTTTGCGACATGCTTTATGACATCGTCTTTACAACCGTTCTCTCGTTGAGCACGCTCGTACCAGCCCTTTACTGACAACATGCTGAACGCTTTTAAACGCGTTTATGTGCGTACAAGTATCTCGATACTCTATGTACAATATATATATATATATATGTATGTGTATATATATAGTTTTTGTATTTCTTTTCTTCAGATACTTTTATATGCGCGAATGTTTAATATTTTAAGTCAAAGAAATTTATTTCTATATTTTAATATATAACACATATATATAATTTTTAATATAACTCGGTTAATTTATTAAGATTATATATATTATATTATAAAATGAATTTCATGTATAGATTAAGATTATTTATTAATTATAATTTTAAATAAATTTCTTTTCGATTATTATCGATATTAAATATTTTGTAATATTTAAAATTAGAAAACAAATTTTTTACGAATAAGATCGAATATTTTCAAATTTTAAATTCTATAATTAAAATGAAAATAAATATTATATAACGATCGAATATTTGTGACATCGTTCGAATATTTTCTATTTAACGAATGTTACATGATTCTCATATGAAGGATATGAGGATATAAAAGAACAGATTAATATGTTTGATATAACTGTCGATTACTATTCGAATACTCACGCTTGGAATGTTGTCGTTGGTGCAGACGCCTTCTTGCAGTAAACGATCTCTTATTTCCCAAGCAAAAATCGACGGACATTCACTTTTATAAAGTGAAATTTTGTTGACGACTTCCGTCGTGGCCACTCGCGGCTTGCTGCCGCCAATGGCCCTTGGCCTTATGGATCCGGTCTCATAGTACCTGCAACAATAATATTTTGCGGTACAATTTAGTAGGCTTGCGAATGGACTTCCTAAGTCCTTTTCCCGAATTTTTTATTTTTCATCCCCAAGAAAATATATTTAACCATTCTACTTCTTTTCTTCCTCTTCTTCCTCTTCGTGTTTTATTTTAAAATTACAAAAATTTCTATTTTGAAAATCGTATCTATACTTGTGTTTTTTGACGCGTAATTATCAAATATATATTACAAAGAGGAGAAGATAAATATTATTAAAAAAAAGAACAAAGATAAGATTAAGTATTTTTAATTTTTAATGTATTCATAGAACAGGATTACGTACTTATTCGTATAATTTTTCTTCAATGAAAAAGTACGATAAGTTGGTAGAATTTATTTGAAGACATATATGTCTCGTTTCGATATAATTAATGCTTCTGTTTGGTGTTTAATTAATCACACTAAATTTTTCAAAGAAGTAGATAAATATTATAGATAACGTTACTTCAAAAGCTTCTCTCTCTCTCTCTCTCTTTTTTTTTTTTTTTAATCAAACTACCTACTAATAAAATTACAGTTTTGATCATTATCGAAATGTTAATTAATTTCAATGATTAACGATTTCCTTTAATAAACACCGAAAGTTCTATTTTAACATACACCGTACACGTACACGCGTATACGTACACAGATATATTTATTTATCTATATACATATACGAATGAGATCGATAGTTTAACGATTTCATCGCGAATGAAGTTTACACAGATGCCGCGAACAGAACTTACAAACATTCTCAAAACGCAAACGTAATAATATTATTTTTATTCGATATGAGATACGATTCTAAAAAAAGAAATTGTGAAGTATATTTTATTTTTTTGTTCGAATCTTATAAATCTCTAGTATTTTACGTTGATACATATTAAAATAAAACATGTGCAGTATTTCAACCAACCTGCCAAGGATCTTCGAAACACAGCCATTGCTGACCTGCAGGATCCTTGAAATATCGCAAGGACGTGCCCCGGAATGTGCAAGTTCGACGATCTTTTGCCTCGTCGAATCCGGAAGTGGTCTACCACCGACGAAGACACCACCCAATTGGTTCACTCCGCTGTGACCTTGAAAATAACCAATTTTCTTATTAACACGAAAAGATATATTTTCTATGTATTCAAACAAATTTTCTTCGATCGCAATATATCGATGTACGTGTTGTGTTAAACTTTAAATAAATCTTTTATTTTATTTCATGAAAAATATTTATAACAAATTATACAAAAAGAAAACACACACACACACACATCCGCGCGCGCGCGCCTAAAAGAAGAAATAAAATAGATCGAAGATAAAATGTTTCGTATTTCCATATGATTGAATCACACACATACACACACATTTATTTGTTAAATTAAATAAAAGTTAAATTGCTAAAATAGTACAATTTTCAATTTTACTGTTAAACCGTGAATTAAACACAGCTAGATTTTTATAAAAGAAAAAAAATATAAAGGAGAAACGCGTTAAAGATAAAATACATATATATATAATATGTGTTTCCGAATGATTGAAGCAATTGTGGATTAAATTTAATCGAATCACATTCACGTAATAATACAATACGCGTGTAACATCTTACAATGATAGTTTTGCGACTTTTCGAACAAAAACTTTCTCCTGTCTCGTAGATCATGTATGTTCTTTTTATTTTTATCTTCTTTCTAACTCCGACCCCGATCGAAGTAGAAAAAAAGAAAGAAAGAAAGAAATAAAGAAAGAAGGAAAGTTTCGTTCAGCTCTTTCGTTCTTCATCGTGGAGATACTTTTCACGCGTTTCTAGATCCTTTTTTCAAGGACGATGACGTAGCCCAGAGAGGGGTCGCGTTCATAGAGCTAGTTTCATCCTAGAAAGATAACTTTTCGAGATTCATTGTGTTCCTGGACAAGAGACGAACAAATCTTATAATCGAACATCACAGAATAAACGTTCGCCAAGTTGCCACGCCTTGATTTCTTCTTTTTTTTTTTTTTTTTTCTTTTTTTTTTTACGAAAGAACGAGGAGAACTACCATGCGTTAGATTCTACGATCGTTAGATAATAAAAGATGACTAAGGTGTGTGTGCGTGTATGTGGGGTGTGGATTATTTTATTTTCTTTTATTTGATATTTTCGAATGGTTTCGTATATAAAAATATCTGTATCTTCCCACGACTATATCTTTCGTTTATCGTTCTTAAATTATTACAAATATAATAATAATAATAACAATAATAATAATCAAAAATATATATTAATTACTTTTTAAAATCAAAAAGATAATAAAGAAAATTCAAAATTATAAAGATACGCATTTAATGTTTCATCAATGTTTTAAGATTAAAAAACAAAAAATATATTTAATATTAAATATTAAATCAATAATAAAACCACACACACACACACATGATCTCAAACCTATAAAATATATCAACAAAAAGATTACAATAACCACGAATGCGCCTATCTTTATCAAATACAAAAAGTCACATACCCACACACCACACATATATATATATAGACATAAAAATAAATAAATAAAAAGAGACAAAAAAAATTATATATATCTATATATATATATGAAACGATAAAACGAGGGTTCCAACAAAATGTGGGGCTCCATTTAACGCGAAGGACGCGTTTGCGAATCGACGATTCCCAAAAACTTCCCGTCGAGGCTAATTCGACGTGTCGCCGGGGTGGCAGTCAGTGAAATGAAAGAGAGACAAAGAGAGAGAAAGAGAGAGAGAGAGAGAGAGAGAAAGAGAGAAAGATAGAAATAGAGATAGAGAAAGATAGAGAGAGAGAGGAGTCATATAAGGGAGATTTACGAGCGTACGCCATCAACGAGAAAGGGAGGAGAGGAGAGGAGAGGAGAGGAGAGGAGAAGAGAGAAGAGAAGAGGAGAAGAGAGGAGAGAAGAGTAGGAAGAGACTCACGGTCGATTGACTTTCGAAAATGGGCCTCGATAGTAGGTATATAGTACGTTCGCGATAGTTTGCGATTTCTCGCGTGTTTCAACCTTCGACAATCATAAAAAGCCCTTTTCAAACTTCGCCCGCTGTCCCACCCCCTCCCCTACCCCAATTCCCTATCCGCATTCTTCCAATTTTTACCTTTTCTACGCGTAATTCATGAATTAAGAAATTGTATACATTGTGATTTAAATATTAATTCAATTTTGTTGACAATAGAAATAAAAAAGTTGGCACGAAGGAAGAGAGAATGGGAGGGACGTAACACATAAGGGGTGTTATTTAATAAAATAAAAGGAAAAGATATTCCTTGACATTTGGTGTTATCTCATTTGTAGTTTTAATAATTTATAAATAGGCAGGCAAAATGTTTTGAAAAGGGGGAGTAGAGTAGAGTAAAGTAGAATAAAAAGAAAAAGAATAAAAAGGTACTACTAGATGGGTATCAAAAAGAGAGAGAGAGAGAGAGAGAGAGAGAAAGGGTAAATTGTAACACTTTGAATGGTTCGTTCATAACGAGCGATAATAACACATGTAAATAACTCAGTCGTAGTTTAAAACGTTAGTTCTTGGTTCCCATTGTCGTATTTAGGGCCTAGGGGGAATGATAGTTTGGTGTATGGTGTTCGTGTGAACAACAACGCGATACGAAATATCATAGAAAGAGAAAGAGAGAGAGGAATATGTATATATATATGTATAAGTGTTTAAGGTACGTACGTGCGTGCGTACGTGCGTACGTGCGCGCGCACGCGACAAATATGAAAAGGGGTTGTACCTTGAAGTCAGCCCAAGTGGAATACTACGCGGGTATTACCGGCGCGAAGGGGTGCTCGCTCGAGTGGCCATTCTGCGAACCTCGTGTTTTGATATTGTAACGTTTGTATTAAATATCAGTTGAAAGAGGGTGACCACCCCTTCTTTCTCTTATACTATATCTCGACTTTAATTCTCTCGTTTATTAGGACTTCATTAAAAGTACCATCTCATGCCCTACCACTTGTCATTAAATGTATTTTATTATTATTATTACTATTGTTATTATTGTTATTATTATTAATTTGTTCTAAAAGGGTTAACTAATTTATATTACTTTTCGTATTAATTAATTTAATAATATATCTAACCCAGAGAATAGATTCGATTAATATTTGTTAGATTATATAATTTGTGTATATAATAAATATAAATTAAATAAATTTATATATATATATATATATATATTAGTAAAATAATACAACGAAAGAATAATGAAAATAATTATGACAAAGTTTGAATGTTCTATCAATTAACTGTATTAAATGACTTATCGATTATATATACTTGTAGAAGATAAATAGGTGTATAAATAGAGACCTGACTTTCGTATTTTCTTCCTTTATCTCGTTAAGAATAATCTCTTGAAGACTTCCTATGTTAAAGAACACACGGAGCTAGTCGATGGTTGAAAAACAAAAAGAATGAAAGCAAGAGGAAAAGAAGTAAAAAAAAAGTAAAAAAAAAAAAAAAAGAAAAAAAGGGGAAGCTCGTTTACAAACGAGCGACAGAGCCTCGCTGACGTGGTAACTGAGACGGCACATTCATCATCCGAACGCTTGTTCTCTCTTTCTGTCACGTTACTTCTTCCTTTTTCTTATTGTTCTTCGGGGTGGTCCCACTTTCGTCGAAGTAAGATAATCAATTACGACGCGTGCGAACTCTGAGGAGAGAGGGGGGGGGTTTGGCATCATCATCGAACAATTTCTCCCTACTTTTAACGCTCCAATGTTGAATTGGATGTTAATCCGTTAATCTTTTTATTTATTTCTTTATTTCTATCAGAAAACAAAAAAAATCACCTATTTCCTATTCAAATATTTCAAAATCTAACTTTACCATCTAAATACTTCTAAACGAGTATCTAAATCATTCTACTCAAATTGACAATGAAATTATTATTGATAAAAAGTAACAATATTTTTAGTGCCATAAACGATTAAATAATAATAATAATAATGATATATGTTTAAGGAAAGATAATAAAGATTTTTTTCTCATTTGATATACCATTTCAATTTTCAAACCTCCCCTCCCCCATTTATCCATTTGATTCATTTGTTTTATAAATGATTGAAACTAATGATTCCAATTAAAATTGAAATGAATTGGTAGAATGTAATGGAATGATTGGAAATAGATCAAAGTTTTAGGAAACTTTAGGACAGTAACGATAGCTTGGTTGCTTGTAAAGTAACGTGACAATTAGTGTGAGAATTAGAAAAGGAGGAAGAGGAAGTAGAAGAGGAAGAAGAAGAAGAAGAAGAAGGAGAATAAGAGAAGGACCGTCAACAAACGGTTTCAACGTGGATGGTTTAAGGTTGGTTCACCTCGACCGACATGGTACAGAGTTTCGTTGGTGTCTCAATCGTTCCAAGCCGAGAAGTGCTTCCGGAGAATGAATGAACGAGAGTGAGAGAGAGAGAGATAAAGAGAGAAGAGACACCCCTGAAGCCATTTGAGGCTTCTCAACTTCGGAGGGAAAGTAGGAGGGAGGAGTCGGTTTGGATGCCCACTTGGTCTCGAGTATCCCGCTCCTGAACGATTCTGCACTACCGAGGATAATCGGTCGAGAGGATAAAGAGAACTCGGATTTTAAGTAGCACAATCAAAGACAACATTTTCTTACTTTCAATTCTTATAATATAAACATACCATACAATTTTTTCAATAGGATTCTGATTTATAATATTTCATCGAAATTTATTGTATTTAATCGTCATCGTTATACCATGAGAAATTATTTATGATTTTTGTTCTTGTATTTATTATATTTTTAGAGGAAATGGAGAAATATTTCCATATTATAAATGTTCTTGTTATGTTAATGTTGATGATATATTTATTTTCATTTATTTATTTATTCGAATATTATCAATTATTTTTGAGAGTTATTTTATTCATTCGTAATATGACGATTTATTTGTTAATCAAACGTTGTTCTTATTGTTTTTTATGATTATTGTAAAATTGTATATATCGTATAAAAATATTCCTCTATCGTGTTTTAAATTATTTTATATAATTTTCTTATATATATATCAATCTCTTTAAATTTTTCCATAATACGGTT